GCGCTGTTATGAAGTTAGTTTTGAACTCATGTCTTGAGGACCCCCGAGAGTCCACACCGTTCTGTATGAATCCAAAAACAAAATACAATAAAACCACAAGCAGCAGGATATCAGTCCCTTTAAGAGTGGTTACTGGCAAGAATTTTTAAAAGGAGGGACCCCACAGACTCTTAATTCCCCTGATTTTCAGAGAAGGCCACAGCCCCGTGGGGTGGGTGGGAGGCTAGGCGGCCTGCCCAGGCGTATCAGGTAAGTCAGACGCTGGGGCAAGAGCCCACTGTCTGCTCTCCCTGCCACAGGACGCAGCTGACCCAACAGCAACCAGACACAGGCCCCGCTGAGAAACCGTCGGGGTGCCGTGAGGGAGACAGGGGCCTCTGAACCCAAGAGGGCAAACGCTGCTCAGCCCTAGGGACCGAGGACAGGATGATTTTCACATTGTGGACAATTTTCATGATGTAACTGAAAAATGATAAAAACAATGAACAGACTTCTTGTTTCAGCTCCAACATAAAAGAGAACTTGAAGTAATCATAATCACTCCAGTTCTTACATGAAGAAAAAGCTGAACAAACTCAGAATCAAGGGTGTACCTAGGACCCATCAGTAAATGGATGTATAGGGCAAACCTCCACCATAGAATCTAGAGAGAGAGACAGATCTGTAATCAGAGCTGAAATCGGTGCACTTGGGGCAGAAGCTATTGGAGCCACAAACTAGTGGGAACACTTAAATGGTCCTTTAGACAAGCAGCCAAGTGCTGTGCGTGGCCCAGCCTGGGAGTGAGAGCCACAGTCTTAGGAACCACTCACGTGTTCTGAGCTGTCCTTTCAGGGACCCCTCAGGTTCTCAAGGGAGAGGCAAGGAAGACCCCTGGTGGCTCTGGAAGGAGGAGGGTGTGAGCACTGACCTGACAGACACTCGGAAACTTCACAACAAAGGTCTGTGAGCCAAGGGAGAGACCTCACCAGAGTCCTAGCCTACCTGGAGAATAAATGTTTCTCTGACCCCTCCACCACAGTCCTCTCACCAAACTGTGGGTATTTGGGGCGGCGGGGGGCGGGGGGGGAGCGGGGCGAGTAAGGCAGGAAACAGCGGAAAGGACAATACCTTCCTCATGGACTTTCTCTCTCCTAAAAGACGTTCATATTCTGAATACCTCGACTAGGGAAATTTACACGGTAGGGCAGGGAGCTGACAAGGGGGAAAGAGCACCAGCTTACAATCCAGTTGCTCAGGGAGGTTTTCATTATTATTAAACCATTTCCTCAAGGGAAGCTTTCCTTATGAAACAATCTTGAAGTTTTGGTCTTGTACCTCCTTTAACATTTTCTTGTGCTTGCCATTTCTTGTGCGTAAATGTTAAGTTTTTTCTTTTGAACTGGACAAACATTCCTACAATCTCTGCTCTTCAGCTAGAGAATTTTTGCCCCTTCCTATACTGCCAGAATTTCAATGATCCTCTTAGCTCTATAATGGTGTTTTTGCAAACTACACATACAAATCACCCTAATTAACTGCACACACTGGCACAATCCTCAGAATCAGAGTTCTCAACAGGCCTCCGTGAGGGGTCTCCACCAGGATGCCTGCTGCCGCCTGTCACCAGCACGTCTTCCTGCCCCCGTCACACCTTCACTGACTTCACTCATGCATCTTTAGTTTATCTGCTCCAGTGTCTCTGCTTTCTCTTTTATCCGAGTAAAAGAACTAAGACCCAAAACTAGCGTCTTTAAGGAGGAAACATCCTTCCCTCAGTAAGGTGATCCTCACTCTCTAGGTATGATCTTTGGCTCTTCTTGGTTGTATTCATTATTCCCGGGCACAAAAAAGCTGGTCCTTCAGTTGACTGGTTTTCTGGAGGAGGCCACATTGAGTTCCGGACATTCAAGAAGGCAGAGGTTTCTGGAAGTCTGTCTGTAGAGTAACAGCAGCTTTTTGTGGCTTCTCCCTCTACTGTGATCAACAAGGCGCCTGCACATACAACTTTGTAACTAAGCCACTTGACCTGCCCTGTTTTTATGGAGTGTGTATCAGAGGTTTTATGGCAATTTTTCTAAAAAGCCACAACAACTTTTAGATTCTAAGATTATGACTGTTTTGAGCTCTTCCGACTTAAATAATGTGCTCTCTAGTCAAAGTGGAACAATGAAAACTAACATGGCCCTGAATAAAGACCACCAAGTGCCTTTGCTGTTCTTACACCTCAGGAGCCTGAGTTCTCAGATCAGAGGCCAAGGACGCGGGGCTGAGGGAGCAGGGGCTCGGCAGCAGCACAGGCAGGAAGGAGCTCAGGGACTTAACCTGACGCTCCCTGAGCCACCCAACCATCTTTCACTCTGGTTTTCAAGAGAGCCAGTACAGAGCTCCAGTGAGCCATCAGTTACAGTCGGTCCTTCCGGCACACTAGGAAAAAGAAAACCTCATAAACAATGCACAGGTAAAGCAGAAACACTTCATTTGCTTTTGGCAGAAGACACCACTGATGGCAAAGTCAAGATTAATGAATTATGTCACGGCATCTGAAGACAGAGGCTAACTGCAGCCTTCCAAGGACAGGTGTTCCTTCGCTTCTAAAAAGCATCCCAAGTTTGCTAAGCCACCATCCTCATGGTTGCAGTCAGCCAACCCACCTTTTCTGCGGACCTACTAGGTGCACGGCTTTGCTCCAGGTGCAGTGGAGAACTCAAACACAATGAGGCAGGCATGTCAATTTTTCTATCCTCCCTAATTTTAAAGGTACGTGTGTATCTCTTTTTAACTCAACACTTGCTCTCCAGCAGCACTCCGTGGTGGTGCTGAGCAGCTCCAAAGGGCCAGGGACAAAGGGCCGACTCCTCCCATCCCTCTGGCCACCTGTCTTCACAGGCAGACCACACCACAGTTTAGAGAGCTGAAAAAAGGCAGGGCAGAATAAGAATCTAAGGGATTCAATCCATAGGTAGCAAGTCAGCCCCTGTGTTCATCACCTTCAATTAATACTTTATTTTCTTTAAAAACAAAACACACACACACACACACACACACACACACACACACACACACACACAGCACTTATAATATGCCAAGTATTGTTTTAAGTGCTTTATACATATTAACTCATTCAATCCTCACAACAGGCCTATAAGCCAGATATGATTACCCTAATTTTAAGATAAGGACACTGAGGCACAGAGCAGTTAGCAAACCTACCCAAGGTCACAGGTAGTATGTGGTAGAGTTAGGGCTGGAGCTAAGTCTAGTCAGTTGAGTCCTAGTCTATGCCATTAACCACTGATCAAAGTATTTAACAAACAGGCTGCGGCATTTACGTGTGTAACAAGCCTTCCTGGAGGCAGCCAGGTAATCTAGTATTAAAGTTAAAGCAACAGTAACAAGAAGACACTCAGAATTTATGTATAAGATACACTGTGTAGGCTATGCAACAGAATTCTAGCCTCAAGTCCAAGAGTTATTTTATCTTTCACAACACCAACAACCCCTATCAGTCTGTAACTGAAAACTACTAGAATATTTGCTGAAAGAATCAGCATTTGAACTTTTGCTGCAGTCTTTTCCTAAAATATGGCCTGGATCTGAAGTCAGCGGGGAGGAATCAGCACACACAACACCTCCTGTCTCTTGAGTACATCACTTGTGTCTTAAAAGCTTTCTGCAAAGGCTCACCTACCAAACAGCCCAAAACACCTCCCCCAAGGCAGGCATATCTGTGCTGAAGAAGTCGACAGCCACTTGGCACTTGCGGATATTTAAATAATTTATAAATACAATAAAATACATTTCCTATGTGGCACTTGCCACAAAATAAGAGCTCAACAGCCACATGGGGCTAGTGGCTACCATAATGGACAGCACAGAGACCATTTCCATCATCACTGAATGTTCTATCGGACAGCACGAGTTAGACCCTGTGTGTGATTTTTTTTTTGCTTGAGTCTGAATATTACTTAGTGGTAATAATTTCATCCTGTCTTTCTTATTAATAAACAAAATCCAAATTATACCTCATTTCTTCATAAATTTTCTACTCCCAAATTCAGTTCCAAGGAGGACAGTGGATTATTTACAAGCAGGTCAAGTAAGCTCCTAATCCTCTACTACCTGGGACCTAGAATGTCTTTCTTCTTCTATAACAATGAATGAAACATAAAAATTAGTTGAGGAAAGGGGAATGCATTAAAAAGTATGGTAGACAAAATGCTTTGCTTATAGACAATAGCTTCATGTTGAATATGAAGCTCCCACAAGGAAGTCGGAGAGGAGAGGGTAGCTACTCCACACAAACCAATTCCTCCACCAGAAAAACACCACACACGCACCATTAACACGGGGGATCAGACACTTCGTGGCTTAAAAAAAAGGCCTACACGGAAACAGGCCAGTTACACTGTCCTTGTGTGGGCCAGGGGCAGTGGCACCAGATTCTCTACTGGGAACAAACTTTTCCTTACAACAATTTCTAATTTCTAGCATCCTTAATCTGTACTCCTCGGATGCCTAACAAATAACACTGCTATTCCATTCCATGTGTGTTCACACTGTAAAGAAGCAGAAATGCAATGATAAAACACTAGCACAGCTTAGGAATAAAGCACAAATTCTAAGACACTTCCATTGCTAAGGATGCTAAGATCCAAAATTCTCCTTCTAATTCCTCATTCTCAATTTAATGAAAGCCTGGAAAAACTATGTTAATGACTAGTAGGAAATGCCCTGTTCTAGCATTGATCTCTGTTAATTAAAAAAATTCTGCTCTTTGCATCCTTTTTGTCAATTTTTCTCTCACCCTATCTATGCCTATTTACTTTTAGTAACACGATTATTTTTATGAAATCCCATGATATAGAGCTTTCTTTTTCATTTCAGATGAGTGGAATGAGCAGGGCTAACAAGAATCATTAACATCTGGTCATTTTAAGTTGTAAAAACACCTTAAGCTCCTCAGAAGATGCAAAAAAAATTTTTTTAAATGTAATAATAGCAATAATTAAATTACATACTTGTGACTTCTTGTAAGAAATCCAAACATGGTCGACTACTTCCAGAAATGCTTATTGAAACAGCCAATGGGGTCTGTCCTTCATAGTTCCTTGTGTTCGTGTCCGCTCCATAATTATATAACATCCGTGCACAAAGCACATCGTCCCTAAGGGCAGACAAATGTAAAGGAGTCTGTCCATCTTCTAAGCGACCCAAGTTTGTGTCTGCTCCTCTCTGGAGGAACATTCGGCAATAAGAGTGATTGCTTTTAATCACAGCGTATCGCAACAGGAAACCGTTCTGAATGTCGATGTTGGCGTTGTGGTCCAGGAGGATTTTCACACAGCTTGACCGCTCTCGGATAATGGCGAGCTGAAGCGGCGTTGTACCTTTATCACTGAGCGGGTCAACCTCAGCCTTGAACTCCAGTAGGAGTCGGACAAATGAGTCCCTACCATAGTGAGCAGCCACATGAAGGGGAGTCCAGCCATCATTGCTTTTTGCATTAATAATGTCGCTCCTGTATTCAGATTCTAACATCAGGCGTGCAATCCGGGCCCGGCCATGCATGGCTGCATAATGAAGAGCAGTGAAGCCTCCGATTAAGTCCTTAACTGTGGGATCAGCTAGAGTTAAAACCAAAATGAAAACATTAGCAGACTCTGGGAGAGAAAGCAACAAACTCTGCCATGGCACAGCACATCTTAGCCAATTCTCACATGAAATGTGGAATGATTAAACACATAATGAGCATCAAGTCCTTCCCGCTTCTGCTTAATTGAAATAGTTTTAATGGAAAATAAATTTTAGGAGAAAGCCATCAAACCTGGATCAACAGGATAAGCATATGACTTACAAAGCATTTAAAAGATAAATACAGCAAACACGGAGCTCAGATCGCCACACCCCCTTTGCTAACTTAACCAGCTGCCCTTGGCTTCCCAACTCCCTCATCTCTGCACTGTTTCAGGTTTCTCTTCTGTTTTGAACTTTTTGTTTTATTTTCTCTTGTGCTGCTTCTTGGTCTTAAAAAGAAGCATGTGTAGCAACATCTGCTGCTCTAAATTACGGATGTACTGTGGTCTGGCAGACTGTGTTATTTTAGAGTATATTAGGTTAAAAAAAAAAAAGTTTTTTGTGGTCTACAAAAATTCCAAAGTATGTAAGGTATATATGTTAAGTGATCTTGATAAATCATGTTCCTATAAGATAAAGGTCTATTCTGAATTCTTTGTTTTACAAGAACTCTGGAGTTTTTAAGAATTAGGCAGCACACATTGTGTGAAAAATTGGGAGAAACTTCAGCACTGTGTAAATATTATTTTCTAAAACAGTTCCAAACCTCTCTTCTAAATCAACAGATTTCTGGAAGAAAGAAGTAAAAGAGAAGACAGAAACTAAAATGACTTATCAGCTATGTGACTCCTCTAGCCAGAGACTTTTGTCCCCTGTCCCCAGTCCTTCCTGAAGCTGAGAGTCAGCTCTGCACCACTCGTATCCTACTGGCCTTCCTGGGCTGGGGACAGAAGAGGCGAAAGAACCTTTATTCACTGCAGGCAGGTCACTTACTTCCCGGAGGCCAGCAAGTCCACGTGAAGATAACTGGTTGGACCTAACTACCTAAGAGTAAAATGCTTTCTTCTTATAAAAGTCACCCTTAATTCTTCGTTCGTCCATGAAAGAGAAAAATTCACGAGTGTTTTTCAAACAAACAAACAAAAAGCCTCCACAGTCATGTGATTAAATACTCACGTATTGTTTAGTAAAAATATTTTTTTAGTTCTATAACATTTTATGACAGTTTGGGCTCTTAGAAAAACCTATGAGGCAGAAAAGTATATGTAAAATAGTAATAATACTGTGGAAAATACAAATTTCAATTAAGAAGGAGCTACAACAAAAGCTATAAAATGTTAACACTTCTGAGGTTATATCAGTTGAATTTCTAAAATTATTTCATATAAAATGATATTATACAATAGTAATAAGACTTTTATGTGTTTAAAGAAAAAAAGGGTATCATATCTGCCCTGCTCTTCACTAAAAGAAAAATATATAGTATCTATTCAAGTTGCAACTTAAAAAATAAATAAATAAAAGCAAGAACATTTAAACAAAGCACATTGCTGCCATCTACTGGTAAGACATGAACACGGGCTACTAATGTTTCCACTTTGACAGATTTTTTTTTTCAGATACCTTACTTTTAGATCTAGAGTGGACAGGCATGAAATCTAAAAGAACCTCTACTATTCAAACAAAACCATAAATCTTGCCAAGACAGTCATTTCTAATCTATATCCAACCAATCAACTGTTTCCAAACACTGTCTCTTATCTGTTAGTGAAATTCAAGTTCAATACTTTGACTTCTCCCACCTTTCATCTATCACGGGTGCCTTTAAAAGTGCCAGCAAATAGTCTCATGTGTTATTTTACAGTAAAATTAAAATTATGTTACATGAACCTGCACTTGCATCTTTGGTTTTTCACTTCAGGTTTTTTTTTTTTTTGGTTCTACTTATAACTTAGTGCTATACTGAGCTAGGAAAAACAAATATTAACAAATACAGCAATGATTTGTTTATTCTGAGTAAAAAACATTAAAATGCATTATTTGAGTACATACTGGAAACAAAGCATAGAATGAAGACTGTAGGTTAACAACACATAAAATCTGTACAGTTACTTTTCTCAAGAAATTAACAAATGGAAAATATAAGACAAATAAAGATGAAAACCAAAATTTATTATTAGCTAATGCAATAAGAAAAAATCTTAAATGTAGTAGTAGAAACAACAAAACACTTAGATAAAATTCTATAAGAAACAGGCAAGACTTTCTTTGACTTAACTGAATTCACTTCATCTGTGTCTGTTCAAATGTTCCTTCATCAGAAAAGCCTTCCCTGAACACCAACACAGCAGCCCCATCAACCTTGTAACTTTATTCACCTTAGGAAGCTTTCTCCCCCCAGGTGCACGTATTTAATACAAATTCTAGAAGTCTCAAAAAACCCATTTAAATTTATTGAAAAGTTTAGCAATATATATACATAAAAGCAGAGAAACATTCCCTACCAATATGACTTCTTTCCAATAGCTTTACCGTGGTACAATAAAATGGAGACATTTTAAGTATACAGGTTAACAAACTGATGAATCATATTGTCATGTAACAACCACCACAACCACAATATTCCCATCCTCTTAAAAAGTTCCTTCCTGCCCCTTTAGAGACAATTCCCTGCCCAGACTCTAGGCCCCAGGTAACTACTAATGCTTTGTCTTTCTAGAATTTCAGAGTTTAGGCTTTTGCATTTGACTTACTTCAGTCATTGTGATGTTTTTGAAATTCATCCCCATGTTGTTGTTGCTCATCAAAAGTTCATCCCTTTGTACTGCTGAACAGTATTTCATACTATGGATATACAGTTTATTTATACAGTCATTAGCAAATGGACAAATGGGTTAATCCTAGGCTATAATGAATAATACAAGTCTGTGGATTTATGTTTTCATTTCATTTGGGAAACTACCTAGGAGAGAACTGCAGGGTCACATGTTAATTGTACATATGCAGGATTCCACAGACAGAGCAGCTGGCGGGCTATGGTCCATGGGGTCACACAGTCAGATACGACTAGGCAACTAACACTTTCACTCTTCAGTCGCTCAGTTGTGTCCAACTCTTTGAGACACCACGACAGTAATGTAGCACGCCAGGCTCATCTGTTCACAGGATTTTCCCGGCAAGAATGCTGGAGTGGGTTGCCATTTCCTCCTCCAGGGGATCCTCCTGACTCAGGCACCAAACCTGCGTCTCCCACATCTCCTGCACTGGCAGAAGGATCTTTTTTTTTTTTTTTTAACCACTGAGCCCCTTAAGAATCCCTAAATGTAAATTTAACCTAAAAAAGGTACCAAACTGTTTTTCTAAATGACTACACAATATCACAGTCCCTAGCAATATATGAGAATTCCAAATGTTCTACATCTTCACTAATACTCAGCATTATTAGTAATGTTAACTTTACCAGTTCTGTTGAGTATAAGGTGGTAACTTGATGGGATTTTAATATACATTTCCCCAATGACTAGTGATATTGGGCTTATTTATATACACTCTTTACGGGAAGTGTCTCTTGAAATCATCTACCCATTTTTATTATATACTTTTACTCATGACTGAGTTTAAAACCCAACTGTGTATATATTCTGGATACAAGCCTTTTTGTCTTGTATTTTCTCCTAGTCTACTGCTCGCCTTTTTACTTTCTATAATGTGTCTTTTGGGAGAGCAAAAATTTTAAATTTTGATGATGTCTACTGTCATTTGTTCTCTTTGACGGTTTGTGCATTTTGTGTCCTGTTTAAGAAATCTTTGCCTAACACAAAATCACAGATTTTCTGTTTTCTTCTAGAAGTTTCATAACTTTAACATTCATATTTAGAGCAATGATCCACTGCTAGCTGGTTTCGGTGTAGAGTGTAACATCAGATCAAGGTTCATTATTTTCCATATAAGTGTCTATTTGTTCAAGCACTATTTGTTTACACAAAGCAAGAACTTTCAGATGTACAAGTTGAATTTAGAAAAAGCAGAGGAAGATGATATCAAATTGCCAACATTTGCTGTATCAGAAAAAGCAAGGGAGTTCCAGAAAAACACTGATCTGCTTCTGCTTACTGACTACACTAAAGCTTCTGACTGTGTGGATCACAACAAACTGAGGAAACTACTTAAAGAGATGGGAGTACCAGACCATCTTACCTGTCTACTGAGAACCTATACACAGATTAAGAAGCAACAGTTAGAACCAGTCATGGAACAACAGACTGGTTCAAAATTGGGAAAGGAATACGTCAAGGCTATACACTGTAACACTGCTTATTTAACTTCTATACAGAATATATCATGTAAAATGCCAGGCTGGATCAATCACAAGCTGGAATCAAGATGTTGGGAGAAATATCAACAGCCTCAGATATGCAGATGATACCACTCTAATGGCAGAAAGTGAAGAGGAAGTACTGAACTAAAGAGCCTCTTCATGAGGGTGAAATAGAGTGAAAAAGCTGGCTTAAAACTCAACACTGAAAAAACAAAGATCATGGCATCTGGTCCCACCACTTTATGGCAAATAGAAGGACAAAAAGTGGACACAGTGACAGATTTTATTTTCTTGGGCTAAAAAATTACTGCAGACGGTGACTTCAGCCATGAATTTAAAAGATGCTTGCTCATTTCTATGATAAAACTAGACAGTATATTAAAAAGCAGAGACATCACTTTGCTGACAAAGGTTTACATAGTCAAATCTATGGTTTTTCCGGTAGTCATGTACAGATATGAGAGTTGGACCATAAGGAAGGTTGAGTGCTGAAGAATTGATGCTTTTGAACTGTGGTGCTGGAGAAGACTCTTGAGAGTCCCTTGGACAGCAAGGAGATCAAACTAGTCAATCCTAAAGGAAATCAACCCTGAATATTCACTGGGAGGATTGATGCTGAAGCTCCAATACCCTGATGCTGGGAAAGATTGTGGACAGGAGAAGGGGGCGTCAGAGGATGAGATGGTTGGATGGCATCACTGACTCAATGAACCCGAGTCTGAGCAAACTCCA